GGGGAGCCCAGGTTGTTTTTAATGATGCTGAAGGTCTCCCCGGTCACGTGTGGTGATTCAGTGCTTGGGGACAGAACTCGGGGTTTCGCACATGCAGCGGGCGAGGTCAGATCCCAGCTGTCATTCCTTCCTGACCTGGGACTTGTGAAGACGCGTTTGTTTATGTGCACGGTTGCCTGTGACCCGCCTTCCTGGGATCATCTTCGCCACCGCCATCCATGCTCTCCCCCAGAGAGCCGCTGCTGGAGGAGGGGAGGAAGCAGGGCTGGGACTAAAGGTCAGACGGGGGCTGGCCTGGAGAGCCGAGACTCTCCATGTCCAGAGGAGGAGCCGCCGGCTTGTGTAGCAGACAGAGGGGGTCTGTGCTCCCTTGAAACCAGCCACCTGGCTTCCAGCCGGGTCCTCTCCATCACTCCCTGGAGCAAGGTGGCAATTCAGGTTTCAGAACAGGTATTTCGGGGTATTTGTCTGTGCCTGCTAAATACTCACCTTGAGAGAGGTGATAGGACTGAGATTCTTCATGGGTTTTAGAATCAGGAAATGGAACCAGCTGGGACTCCCAGGTGTGTGTGTGTGTGTGTGTGTGTGTGTGTGTGTGTGTGTGTGTGGAGAGGTAGGGAACAGCAGGTAAAGTCAAAGGAGTTTGCAATTTCCAGTTGGGTGTGGGGATCCAGAGTTTTGTCAGGGCCTTTGTTTGGCAAGGTTGAGCCTGAAGGAGTAGAAAGAGATCAGAAGGGAGTTCTGCAGGAATGTGAGGGCTGTTTAGAGGTAAGCCAGCCACCCTTTGGGGGTCCTTTCCTTACAAGTGGTTCTGTGAGCTCATAGTTCGCCCTTCTGAGTATTGACGAAGATTGGATGGAATAACCCTCAAAATTTGAGTTTGCTTAGAATGTGTCAAAGCAGAAGCTGCGCCCTGAGCAGGCTGGGCAGACGTGATCAGAAATGAGCGCGGTTTATGACTGTAGTTCTCAGGAGACATTCCTCCACTTCCTCAGTTTTCCTCTCAGACAGGAGAGATTGCTCAACAGGCCGAGCATGACTTAACGGAGGGGAGGTCCAAGTGCTACCCCCTAGCCCCGCATGGTCTCCCAAGCCCTTCTGGGAATAACTCATGAGCACTGAAAGCCCGGGGGCGGGGGGGACATGGGGGGTGGGGAGGGAGAATGGGGAATCTTTTTTTTTTCTTTCTCGAGGAAAAAATAATGTGTTTCAAAAACCTTGATCCTTAGTTTCCTTATGAGTAACACGGAGATAGAAGTATCTGGCCTGCTGATCTTGAGGTGCACTTGGGAAGATCAAATATAGCCACGACAGTGGCCACACTCAAAGCTTCATGTCCGTGCAGGAAATGGTGCTGATGACTGATAACTGTTTTCTTTTTGACGGAAAGGGCAGCCTTCACGTTCGGGAAGAAAGTTTCGGGCAACTGCCTCAAGGTCTGATGGAGTGGCAGCTGTCTCCTCACACTCCTAATATTAGATTGTTCATGCGTGTACCCTCCAGCCCCGGATTTGTTGACCAGGGGCTCAGGGCTTGCTTACTCTGGGACAGTTGGGTTGCCCCTGAGGTTGTGAGATATCTCTGAAACGTTTTCTGAATCGTAACTACTGAGGCTCATAGGACATTCACACTTACCCTGGATCCACCACGCTGACCCTGTGGTAAGACCAAAAGCCGGCGATGGTGGTGGTGGCAGATGGGGGATGCTACTAAGAGCCAGATGCACAGGCACTATTGTTAGAATGGTGGCTTTGAGCACAGCAGGGAAGGATTCGGTAGGGTAGAGCAGCATTTCTAAGCCAGGGGCATGATGGACCCCCAGGATAGTCTAAGGGGGCCACAGGTGAAATCGTGTGTGTTTGGAGGTGAGGGCAGACAAGATCAGGGAGCGAATTTGTAGGACAAGGTGGGGAGAAGCAGGATGTAAACAAGGCCAGAGGGGGGTAGGCACAGTGGGGTTGAGACCTGCTAGAGTGGGGTATCAGTCATGGGGCTGTTTCTCTGATGTCTTGTCTTTAGAGATTGCTCATTTGGCCCAGGAAGTTTCCAGCCACCAGAGACTGCAACGGGAAGCGGACAGCAGCTTCTCATACAGAAGATAGAATTTAGAAACAGACTTGCCTTGCATGCAGCCAACGCTGGTTTGGTCCCCAGCGCTGCATGCTTCCCCAAAGTACCGCTGGGAGTGACCTCCCTGTGGCCCAAGGTCCCAGCACTGTTCCCCACCCCTCCCTTGATGCAATCAGGAATCCGGTCCAGGTCTTATCACTCCCTGAAGTTCCCCTGAGCACATAGCTCTCCCTCTGACTCATTTCCTTGGTCATACATAATACAGGGGTTGGTGCTGTAGGTAGCTGAGATGTATAGGAAAAGGCTCTGGACACTTTGCAGGCCTGGAGAGGTAATAGAGGTTGGTGCTTCCCTACCAAACCATCGGGAATAAATAGGCTGTTTATTTTTTTTCTCTCCAGGTAGAGAGTCCCAGTTAAAATTCTTATTCAGTGAGGCAGGCGTAGAGTCCCAGTTAGACATTCTTATTCTTATTCAGTGAGGAGAGATGACCTCTAAAAGAAGTGTGGTGTAAAGCCTAACCCTAGAACATGGTCTGAGGATTTTAGAAACAAGTGTTCAGGGGCCTTATCTAGATGCGCATGCCTCAGCTCTGCTTTTTTGGGCACACCAGGCTGCCGCCTGCCAGATGAGGTCATTGGATTCTGTGGGCTGGCCTGGCAGGCACATGGTTGGAATGGTTGTGAGGGGTGAGGGGTGGCAGAGCACAGAGGACGTCTCTCCCTGAACCCCCCACTCACCCAGCAGCCTGGCCTTCAGGCTCTGCCTGACTGGGCTTTCCAGACCTCTGACTGCTCTAACCTTAGTGCTCCACTCGCTGCAGATTCCAGAACACTGGACCCTCTGACAGCACCCCCCTCCCCCCCGGGGCAGAGTCTGACCTCTGGCTTCTTCCTGTAGCCTTTATGCCATGTTCGTTCAAATCCACTGACACCTGGACCAGCTCGGTGCTCGTTTTGGAAGTGGGGCTGATAACTCCCCACCCCCAGAATTCTGTGCTTTTTGATGAAGAAAGGAGAGACGGTCCTTGAGGAGACACAGAGGGACCCCCAAACCACATGGATGCTGGAGAACACAAAATCCAGTTGGAAGGCACTTCAGGTACAAAGTCCAGAGAGGATGAGTGGAATCCCAGTCACAGCTTGTTGGAGATGGAGGGTCCCCCATATTTAATGTGGGGGCTGATATTTTAATACTGCCAAGTGGATTTGGACTCAGGGTGAAGGCATCGTCGCTCCCTGCATGGGTGCCTTAAAGCTGACTCTGCTTTTAGACTCAGTAGTTTAACTTCAGCACTTGAAGTGAGGGAAACAGTTTGAATTGCAGAAAAAGCCTCTACTGAAAGATCAGCGTTGATTCGCGTGGTGGGGCTGCTTGCGAGGAAGGCGAGTCTTGCCCGGCTATGCTCAGGACTTGTTCTTTCAGTGTCTGAAGCAGAGCCTGGCATGCAATGACCTCTCAACATCTTTTGAACAGTCCTATGAAAAATCTACCCCCATGTGATGATGACATGGGAAATTTTCTATGCTAAACAAACACAGGGAAAAGCAGGATACAGATTTCTAAGCACTGTCAGTAAACATGCACTTTATTTTTTAATGAAGGGGAGAAAAACCTAGGAAGAAGATAGCTAAGTGCATCTTCACCTAGATTATGGATGACTCCCATTCCCCGTCCCGTATATTTCTCCTTTCTTACTTGCTGGGGTTCAAACCCTGGACCAAAGCTTATGGGACAAATGCTCTGCCACTGAGCTGCCTCTTTCTGGCCTCTTTGGTTTTTGTTTGGGGGCCACACCCAGTTGTATTCAGAGCTTAATCCTGGCTCTGTGCTCAGGAGTCACTCCTGGCGGGGCTCAGAGGACCATATAGGCTGCCAAGGATGATGCCCGGGTCACTGCATGCCAGGCAAACATCCTACTGGCTGGTGGTATCTCCCTGGCCCCTGTATCTTCTAAACTTTCTATAATGAGTATGATTTGGTCATTGGAAGCATTTTTCTTTTTTAAAGACATCACATTCTTTTACAAGAAAGAAAGGAAGGAAGGAAGGAAGGAAGGAAGGAAGGAAGGAAGGAAGGAAGGAAGGAAGGAAGGGAAGAAAGGAAGGAAAGAAAGAAAGAAAGAAAGGAAGAAAGGAAGGAAGGAAGAAAGAAAGAAAGAAAGAAAGAAAGAAAGAAAGAAAGAAAGAAAGAGAGAGAGAGGGTTGTTGAGCTGGTTTGTTAAGTTTTCCTTGTTACCTTAAGGTTGTTACGTTTTATTCACGGAGCAAACCAGCAGCTTCAAGAACCAGTTCCTCCTTGCTTTCAAAGCACTGGGCTGCCTTTGTGAATGCACACAGAACACCTCCACACTGGGGCCGCGTCTGTCAGTCTGCCTGCAAGCCGATCCCGCCTCACTGCACAAGGGCGCAAGCGAGCGAGTCCCGGGTGATGAGACTGTGCAGGTCCCGACGGAGGCTTGCCCTCACGCTCACACGCAGCCCAGGTCTCTGCCGCGGGGAGGCCAGCACGTCATCTCCAGGAGCAGTTCAAAGAAGATCGATGAGGTTCTGGGTGGGTGGTTAATTCTTAGCATTGTTTTGCGGCTGTTGAGAGTGCCCCGTCCGTCCGCCTTCCTGCCCTCTGGTTTAAGCTCCTGTTGCGTCTTACAGGATTGTTTTCTCCGGCACTGGGGTTCGTGGGAGTCTGTGCGCCGGGAGCCTGGGCTCCCCTTAGAAAATCAGAGCCTCCTTGTCGTAGGTGGGCTGTGGCCACCGCTGCTGGGCTCTGTGGGACGAAATGCCTCCCCTCCAACGGAGGAGGACTTGCTGCCTGACCCTGGAGGGAAGCTTGGGGACCGGGGGACCCTCAGCATCCACTGGCCTATTGTGTCTCTAACCCTTTCCCGACCTGCAGCGTCTCATGCCTTTTTTCTCTGTCTCGCTCTCTAGCCATAACCAACGGACCACGGCCTTCAGGCATCCTGTGAGTGGGCAGTTTTCTCCAGAAAATAGCGAATTTTTTCTTCAAGAAGAGTGAGTACTTTCATATCTCCTTTCCTTTCCCCGCAGAGCTGGGAGGGTACAGGCGTGTGCCCTAAGCAAAGCTTTGTTGGGGACTCCTGCTCTCTCAGACCGAGGGGCTTTGCGAGGGCTGATGGGCTGAAATGTGAGAATTTTGTTTTCCAGTCACTCGGTTTCCCTCAGTTGAAAGATGCAGAGGGAGGTTGGGGCGGGGGTGAAATTGTCAGCTCCTTTCCCCTGGCAGAAATCACTGAACAAATATGCTAGCCGTGCTCTGCAAGGACCCCTGATTACCCTCTCTGGCCAGGCTGAACCTGTGTTACTGGAAAGCCTCAAGTAACGGTGGCAAGCCTAGGTCTTAGAAGAGGCTGGTGGGATAGAATGGCAGGTTAAGGCACTCGCCTAGCACGCGGCCAACCTGGGTTCAATCCCCAGCATCCCGTATGGTTCCCTGAGCCCCACCACAAGTAATCCGTGAGTGCAGGGTCAGGAATAAGCCCTGAGCATAGCTGGGTGTGGCCCCAAAATAAAACAGAAGAGAGGAGAGTTGGGCTGGAGTGATAACACAATGGGTAAGGCATTTGCCTTGCATGCGGCCGACCCGGGTACGATTCCCAGCATCCCATATGGTCCCCTGAGCACCACCAAGAGTAATTCCTTAGTGCATGAGCCAGGAATAACCCCTGTGCATCGCCGGGTGTGACCCAAAAAGAAAAAAAAAGAGGAGAGCTGATGCCCCTCTTCTCCCCAAACTTCAGAATTCTTCCTGCTCACTTTTCTTGAGCTGGGGACATTCCTGCTTCTTGGTCTTGTGACATCATCTTCTGGTGTATTTGAGGGCAGGCTCCCAGCACCCTGGGCCCTCTCTACTTGGAAATAAGAGCACTGGACCCTGGGAGATAGCTCAAAGTGCCAGTGTTTGCTTTGCATGCTAGAGCTTCGGCGGCGAGCATGGAGCTGGGAATAGTCCCTGGACACCACCAAGCTGTGGCCCCCAAATGAAATGAAAACCAAAATAGAACAAGGTGTGTGTGCTTGGGGCTGGGGCTGGGGGTGGATGGCTCTGAGGCTGGGGCACAGGTTGTGTCTGCTCCCGCTGGAGACCCTCTCCCACCAAAGCCATGCATAGCCCGAAGAGAATATGTCCTTCTCCCCAGAATGAAAACAGAAATGTGTGCAAATGAGTGCATCCCTGTGTTCCCCGGAGACTGTCCTGTCTGGGGGGGGGGGGGGGGGGGATGGTTCTGTGCGAGGACCAGAGACAGGGACTCCAAGACTGTTTTTCCTTCCAACTCCTTCTTTTCTGCTCACTCACCAAAACCGCTTCTGATCTGAAAATACAAGATCAGTCTGTACATTTTTAATCAGGAGGCTTTTTTTTTTTTTCTCCCTCAATACTACACCTTTAAACTTTTTGTTCTGGAAAATTTCAGACACAGGCAAAAGCAGAGAGAGTAACAGAACCATTGTTCTCCTCCTTGCATCCCACAGTCCCCCAACACTTGCTGACTTTATGTCAGCTGTTCCCCTCTCCCTTCCCTGCCCCCCCCCCCCCCCCGATGATGGCAAAGCAAATTCTAAACATACCATCTCATCACCATAGTATGTGCAGTTTAGAATCCTTATGCCACGGGGACTTTTCAAAGCAGGAGACTATAATTAGTCTAATCCTGACATTCCCTGCCTGTTTGCTTCGTGCCCGGGGGTGGGGGGGGGGGGAGTGACGTGGGAGTCGCATTTAACAATGCAACACCGAGGGGTCGACCAGACAGACCATTGGCATTTCTCAGATGGAAAAACAGAGTCTGCAAAGCAGGCAGGCCCATGGCCCAAGTTACACAGCTCGCTGGCTGGCTGGCCGGTGAAAAGGTTGTTGCCCCTGCCTGAGCTCTTCCTGGGGGCTCACCCTGGTCCCTGTCAGAGGCTGCATGCTCCAGGACTGTGACCACCAGCCAGTCCCGGGGACCGGAGCCCTGATGTGGGGGAGCATGGAGGTCATAGAGTGGGTGGAAGGGAACGATGTGCCTGACATTGAGGAGACGCTGCTGTCTGACAGCAGAGTCAGAATGTGGATTCCCCGAATTCCAGTGGAATGAGTTTGTTTATAGAATCCTGAAGGTCAGAAGCCCTTGGCAGGTCACTGAGCTCAGCCCCCTTCCTTAGGCATCCCTGAGACATGGGCAGCGTTGTTCCTGAAGGTCCGTCTGGACGGACGGATGGTGCGTCAGGACACAGCTGGGGAAGTGACTGACATTTCTGCATGACAGATTCCCAAGCTTAGGAGAAGATCGCTTGGGGCCTCCCTGGAAATTGGCCTTGTTTAACCGAAACAGGGAGAAAGCCCCCTCCCACCCGGCCATTGCATCCAGGCCTGTCACCTCCCGCCCGCCCCAACATACACACACACACACACACACACACACACACACACACATTCACACACTCACTCACACACACCTGCCAATCGTTCTAGCACCCCCATGGGGTGATATGGCCCACTTTGGCAAACACTGTTCTAGATAAACACTCTCCATCACCGACACCTCTGTCACAGGCCCCTCCTTTCTTTCTTGTTAGTAGACTTTGTCCCTCTGCCGCTTAGAAGTTCACCCAAACAGCTCTACAGCTAATCTTCATGCCGTGAGCCCCTTTTCAAGGATCACTTTTACCCTCTGAGTCCCATTTCCTGGGTGTCAGAGAGGGTGCTTACTCATCCCAGGGAGGGGGGAAAACTATCTGGTCAGACATTCTCTGAAGCGGGCAGAGTGTGGTTTAGGCAGTGAGGGGAGAGGTGGGTTTCTGGGAACGGACGTGATGAATCCTGCACTTAACCATACGTTCAGTAAGTGTCCAAAGTGTCGGGAGCGGTGCCGGGCTCCGCAGTGGCAGCAGGGGGCCAGACTGACACAAGCCTGTCCTGCGGAGTTCGAGGTTAAGCAGGAAAAAGAGAATGAGAGTGGGCTGGAGTGATAGCACAGTGGAGAGGGCATTTGCTTTACACGTGGCTGACCCGGGTTCAATTCCCAGCATCCCAGATGGTCCCCTAAGCACCGCCAGGAGTAATTCCTGAGTGCAGAGCCAGGAGTCACCCCTGAGCATCACCAGGTGTGACCCAAAAAGAAAAAGAAAACGAGAGAATCACAGATGTGGACCAGGTCCACCCAGGGAAAGCTCCAGGCTCAGTGGGAGTTATTGAAGATGGGAGATATTTTCTCCCTGGATTAAGGTGGCCACCCCTGGCAGGGGAGGCAGTTCCAGTGCAGACCTGTTCAGTCTAGATGAACGTGGTCACAGACTCAGAGGGCAAAGGTAGGAGTTAGACCAGCTGGGTTAGGTGGATGCCCTACATTGCAGGGTGGGAGAATTGGGAGAATTTAGTGACTGCTGGGGATGGGGATGAAAGAGAGGGTAGAGTCTCCAGGCATGCTTGGCTCTAGACTGAGGGAAGGGGAGGATTTAGATAAGGAAAGATAAACTGAAAATAATCACGCCTGTGTCTGGGGGGGGGGGGGGGGGTCTTTCCTGACTGGGTCTGATGGGGCTTGGTTGGGTAGAGGGTGGTGAAGGGGGTTTTAGAGATAAGCCTGGGGAAGAGCCTGTAGCTAATTATCTAAATTGCTTCCTCCTGAAATACACCCAAGATTGTCCTTCTGGGTGAGCTCTGGGGTAGTGTTGGGAAGGGGGAGGTGGGGCATGGGGTCCCCCTCCAGAAACTGTTTAACGGAACTGGCCATGGGACATGTGAAGCACGACTTTAACCACAGCCCTGACGCACCAGAAGCTTTTTTTTGTCTTCTTGTATCACACCCCACGATATTCAGGGGTGACTCCTGGCTCTGCACTCAGGAATTACTCCTGGCATTGCTTGACAGATCATATGGGATGCTGGGGATCAAACCCAGGTCAGCCACGTGCAAGGCGAACTCCCTACCCTCTGTACTATGGCTCCAGCCCCAGAAACCATTTTTTAAAAATTCTTAAGCCCCTCTCGCTCCCACAGGACTTCCTCTGAGGAACAGATGAGAGCAGTCACTTGCACATATTTCTCTGCCATCCTTTTGGGGATAACATATTCAGTTTGAGCCAGCCCCCTCCTCCCCCTTCCCCCCCCCCCCCCCGCCCAGGGGGCTTTCTCTCTACGTTGAGGGAGGCAAGTTGTGGTTGTGGCACTCTCAGGGGTGCAACCCTGGCTGGCGCTTACACACAATGCCTGGGCTTGCCGGCAGCACAGCCTAACCTGCAGCGCTGCCAGGATGGTGGACGTGTGGCATTTGTGCACATGGGGGATTTGAACTCGTGACTATCCACTTGCCAGGCAGGGACCCTCAGCCTCTGGGCTTATTCTGCCACACCTGGTGGTGCTTGGGCCAGCCCTGGCTTGAGGCTTGGAGGTTGGTGTCAGTGGTGTGACGGGACCATGAGCTGCTGGGATCAAACCTGGGCCTCCCATCCTCTTTTACTTTCCAGTGCCCCCCATACCATTACTTTCTTTCTTTCTTTTTTTTTTTTTAAGCAGGGCAATGAAGTAGATGGTTTTTGTTCCCTTCCAGGAGCTTAATTTGTTGTGAAGTGTGAAATGCAGTGAAGAAAAAGGCTGGGTTGACCTTTGGTGTTCTGTAGACATCAACTCTCAGGTTGATGTCTTGGGTAGAAAATGGAGAAGTGAGTCTTTCCCTTCTCCAAGAAGCTCTGTTGAGGCATGCACTGGAGCACTTTTAAAACACAGATCCCTCTCTTTTTTTTTTTAATGTAGGAGTACTGCAATTTATTCGGCCATTGATTAAGCTGATTGAATTGGGCACGAACTCCACATTACTTTTAAATAAATTTTTTTAAATTGGGTATCTGTGAGATAGACCATTACAAAGCTGTTACTGGGTTTCAGTCATACAATGACACAGCAACTATCCCTCCACCAGTGTATATTTCCAACCAACAATGTCACCCGGTTCCCCACCACCATCCCCCAGTGCCCCACCCCCTACCCCCAGCCTCTCTCTATGGGAGGCACT